GAGCATGTCCTTTGCGATGGTTTCAACAAGAGTTATACACGGTGGATTTGGCACGGCGAATTTGATATGCCGAGTGCATCCCAAACTGAAGAAATTGATGCAGATGATGCATATATGTATGATCGGGTAGAAGACATGATTAATGATGTCGGAGCAGAGGCATTTGAACAAGCACATGTAAATATGGTTTGTGAGTCCTTGTCTGTTGATGCAGAAAAGCCTCTCTACGGTGGTTGCAAGAACTTCTCTCGTTTGACTGCAATTTTAAAACTAATCAACCTGAAGGCAGCTAATGGGTGGAGTGATAAGAGTTTTACAGAGTTGTTGTGCTTGCTTAATGAAATGCTTCCCGAGGATAATGAGTTACCGAAATCAAATTATGATGCAAAGAAGGTTTTGTGCCCGTTAGGCTTGGGTTATAGGAAGCTTCATGCTTGTCCTAATGATTGCATTTTGTACAGAAACGAGTACGCAAGTCTTCAGGAGTGTCCGGAATGTGGAGTTTCACGATTCAAAAATGAAGTTGATGCAAATTCAAGTACACGTGTTCAACATAAGAGACCACCGGCAAAGGTGCTCTGGTATCTTCCTATAGTACCAAGATTGAAACGTCTTTTTGCTAGTGAAACAGAGGCAAAAAACTTGAGATGGCATGCAGATGAAGAGAAAAAAAGATGGAATGCTCCGTCACCCGGCAGATTCGCCTCAATGGAAAAAGATTGACCAACTTTTTCCTTGCTTCGGAAATGAGCCCAGAAACCTAAGACTCGGACTTTGTACTGATGGGATGAATCCATATGGCAATCTCAGCAGCAAGCATAGTGCATGGCCAGTTCTATTGACCATTTATAATCTTTCTCCCTTGTTGTGCATGAAGCGCAAGTACATCATGTTGTCTATGATGATTTCGGGGCCAAAACAACCTGGAAATGACATAGATGTTTACTTGCAACCGTTGATCGAAGACTTGAAAATGTTATGGGATGAAGGTGTTGATGTATTCGACGCATATAAGAAAGAAACATTCAAAATGCGTGCGACGATCTTTTGTACAATAAATGATTTCCCAGCTTACGGAAACTTGTCTGGATATAGCGTTAAGGGGCATAAAGCATGCCCTATATGTGAAGAAAACACGTGCTACCATCAACTTGAACATGGAAGAAAGACAGTATACCTTGGAAGTCGAAGTTTCTAAAACCGGACCATCCGTATCGTAGATTGAAAAAAGCTTTCAACGGTGAGCAGGAGAATGATGCTAAGACCATTGACCCTCTACTATTGGATGATTTAGAGAATGATGCTGTAGTTATCTTGTGTCAACTCGAGATGTATTTTCCACCTGCATTCTTTGACATTATGGTACATCTAATCATTCACTTAGTGAGGGAGATTCGGTTATGTGGCCCTGTGCATTTGCGATGGATGTATCCATTTGAGCGGTATATGAAAATTCTAAAGGGTTATGTGAAGAACCCTCATCGACCGGAGGCGTCTATTGTTGAAAGATATATTGCAGAAGAAGCGGTTGAATTTTGTACTGAGTATCTATCACGGGCTAAATCTGTTGGTCTTCCAAAGTCTCGTCATGTGGGTAGATCTCCTGGAAAAGGGAGACTTGGGGGACGAATGAAGAGTGTTGATCGTGAAGAGTTGTTACAGGCACATCTGTATATACTAACCAATACTCCTGAAGTTCAACCTTATTTGGATATGCATAGGAGACTCATAAAGGAGAAAAATCCTCGAAAAACAGAACGATGGTTAGTGAACGAGCATAACAAGACCTTCATATCGTGGTTTAAGAATGAAGTTGCTAATTGCCCTTCCACTTCAAATACAGTCTCCTGGTTAGCCGCAGGGCCTAATTTTGATATCATATCTTGGCGTGGTTACGACATAAATGGGTATTCGTTCTACACGAAAGAACGAGATGAAAAGAGCACTATGCAAAATAGTGGGGTTTCAGTTGAAGCAGAATCAATGCATTTCTCAAGTGCAAAAGACAAAAACCCGTTATGTGCCTCTAGCTCTTATTTTGGGATTATTGAAGAGATATGGGAGCTTAACTACGTTAAGTTTACTGTGCCTGTTTTCAAATGTAAATGGGTGGATAGTAATAATGGTGTGAAAGTTGATGAGTTAGGATTTACTTTAGTCGACTTTCGTAAAGTTGGATACAAGAATGAACCATTTATCATGGCAAGTCAAGCAAAGCAAGTGTTTTATGTCATTGACCCGAGCAACGAAAATTGTTCAGTTGTCCTCCATGGGAAACGACAAGTATCATATGATGATAAGAATGACTTGACTATTGATGTTTCTGAATTTCCTTCCACCACATCAAGGATTGTTGTTGAAAATGAAGAAGTTGAACTTGATGATGTATGTGTTGCAAGAAACGATCATCATGAAGGCATATGGGAAAACACACCAATAAATTAACACTGCCAGTAAGTATAAAATAATTATTTGGTGTTTATAATTGTATGATGTTTGTAAAATATATTAACTTGATGATGTATGTGCTGCAAGTTAATTGTCGTAATAAATGTGCTGTAATAGTTGTTTGATGTTTGTGTGGCAACATAATTGGTTGATGTTTTACTAGTATTTGCATTCCCCATGTACGAGATTCAAGTCATTTGGAATAAAAGAACAAAACGATATGTGATTTGAATTAAATTTATGTTTTACTCTGTTACTACTCATTGCTTTACAGTTTACAACATCATTTTATTCTATTTTATTTATATAACATCAACTGTTGATTCTTTTCCCTACAATGTTGTACATTTATTTATATATTTCACTTTGTTGTGTGTAGGAATGGAGGATTTCAATAGTGATGATGCTCACTCCGACTCTTCGAACGAGTCGAATCATTCTCAGGAAGATTGTCAAAAAGGCGGGCGCAGAGCAACACGATTGCCACATTTAATGCTTCAACAAAGCGGGAAGAAGAAGAAAATATCATTTGATTGTAATATGCTGCCAGATGGACCAACCACAGAAATCACCACCGAATTCATTATTTGTGTTGGCCTTTTAGCTCGGAGCAAAGCCAGCATTTTAGCTGAAAATTGGAAAGATGGGGTGCCCGACAAGATTAAAGAGCAAATCTGGCAGACTCTAGAGGTATGATATTTACAAATATTACTATGTTTCATTTCTTTCCATATCATATAAACAGGTATATTTTTTCCATTAACAAATTATATAATATTGAGGTTCATATTAATCTCTTAACTGAAGACGACACTCTGTCCTCAAGGTCTGCAGATTGTGGTCAATGTATTGAAGCCCGTTGGTCTGAATTGAGATCCCAATGATTAGTTATTCGAGAAACTCTTTTT